AATATGAAAAAAAAAAGAAAAAAATCGCTAGCATGTATAGGATGATTAGCCATTTTTTCCTTCACATTGCGCGTTAATAGAAAAAAAAATAAGATTGACACTGAGTTTATTTTTCTATTTACTATTTGATCTGATCAGTGCGTCAAACTGTATGGGTGGGTTGGGTGGTTTTTTTAAATTTGGGTTGTTAGATGCTACGAGCGGTCGGATGACATTCCGTGACCGAACTACTATTTTGGGCCTTAGTGTTATCCTTCACTATTCATAAGTAGATATTTTTTATATATCAATCAAAAATTCGATTACCATGATTTTTTCTAATAACTGACGTTTATCGGGGATATCATATTTATTCATCGATTAAAAAGTTTCCAATGATTCTTTTTCGTTGTTACTTGAATGAAGACAATATCACTTATTCATGCATCGCACGAGATCGAATTAGTTAGTAATTTAAAATTTCTACAATAACCCAAGTTTTGGAAGATCCTAACTTTATTAATATGTTTTTAAGACCTACATGTAATATAAGAAACACATCATTACAACAATTTTGGTACCACAAAGGAAAAGAAACAAAGAAGCACCCTTGACATAAAAATATACCATTAGTATAAAATAATAATAAATAAATAAAAACGCTTCATATGACTAACAGACACATAATCATAAATTTCAGCCTGAGTTTTTTTTAACATAAACATAATTACGACACTTGGAGAAACAGGGAAAAAAATGACAATAATGCATATTATTATGTCGGTGGGATTTGGAAAATAGAAAGAAATAAGGCAGAGCAAACCACACTATGGTACAAATTACACCCTACACCCTCAAAATAGATCTAACATTGTAAACATTTATACACACACAGAGAGAGAACAAGTACACAGATACATCAGTGCATATCTGTATCTATATCATATCTATATATTTCTAGTTAACCTGTCTATACATATGGCCCCTGAATCATTTCTCTGTTTCTGATCTCTCTTTTTTAGACTCTACTCAAGCCACATCTACAAACACATGCATATACAAAAACAAATACACAAACAAAGGATAGCATCAAACAGCTCTCACTTTGTGCTTTGACCCAATCAAAGGTTAGTCAAGAAACCCCTTTTAAGGTTCTTTATCTTTGCTGCTTCATATTTGTCAAATTCCACTTTCNGAAAAACTGGGCTCTGTTTATTGTAGTGTTCTGATATATGGGTTTTCCACGGACTTTTTATTGGGGGTTACTGAGTCCTGGTGAATTTACTGATTTTTGGGACATTGACTTTTGATTCACCACGTGTATTTATCAGTGTTAGATGAAGTTACTAAGCTAATACAGGTGGGAAAAAAGGTTTTTTGGGAGGTGCTGCTAAAAAGTTGGAAACTTTGGCTTCAGAAGGTGTTGATTTTGTGCCTCGGAGTTGACTCATATTTGAATCGTTGGTAAATGCAACTCTCCTGAAATTCAATTTGTTAGCTACGCATATTTAATTGTCTATAATGATAAAATCTTGGTTTTTATCTATATTTCTATATAGAAGCGGATGGAAATGTAATGATTTTGTGTACGGCTACTTTTGTTGTGGGCATGTGCTGTGTGCTGTCCCTAATTTTGGTTTCTCGATTATTTTGGTACCTGACATACCCTTAGTCCTTCAGGAAAATCGGACTGAAGTATTTGTGTCTGCATCTTGTGCTTGCAGAATATTGGTTCAGTTGTGTGCTGCGCTGTAATAACTTACCATCTTTCTCAACTTTTTTCAAATTGAATGATTGTTCCTTATAGCGCAGTATCCCTCGAATTTTCGAAATATAATATGGGTTTATGCTGCGGTGTTCTGAACATATAAGTTGAATTTGGTTATCTATATGGATTATTACCTCATCTTTCACACCTGTAGTTTTTAATGCGCCATAATTAGAAATTATTATGATGGGACCCAAAGTATTGTATTTGCGTCGTTCGATTGCTTAGGTGTTTTCTTTAAATCTTAGTAGAGGTGGATGCTTTTCCATTGTTATTCTTTGATGCTTAAAGCAACTGAATCACCATTTGCTAGTTTAGGCATTCGAACGATATGGAGTATAATTACAAAGTTTAATTGGTGTATGAAAGCAGATGTATTATCTCTGAGCGAAGGAAATTGTTGGCTAAACATCGTGGGAGTTTGAAGATTCAATTTTTGTTCGAGTCTGACGTGTCGTATCAGAATGGGTTGTTTCTGTTCAAAATTGTCATCATGTTGTTGTATCCCGGAGCATAATGGGCCAGTTCATGAAACAAATAATAATGGTTGGTCTACATAACCTCATTTTTCCCCGTTTAATTATTAGCTACCCAATCAGCCAAATTTGACGTGTTATTTATATTTGATTATTTCAGACACTGAGGAGAAAAGCGAAGCCAGCGATGTACCTGCATTTCGCGAATTTTCAATTGAACAGCTGAGGATGGCTACATCTGGGTTTGCTGTAGAAAACATAGTTTCAGAACATGGGGAGAAAGCTCCTAATGTGGTTTATAAAGGGAAATTGGAAAATCAGAAACGTATTGCTGTCAAGCGCTTTAACAGATCTGCTTGGCCTGACGCCCGGCAGTTCATGGTATATTGTTCTTCATAGATGCTAGATGATATTTCAGATTTCTATATATTTATTTTGTTCTCTTTTTTCTTTTTGAACTTTTAGTTTTCTTTATCTCACCCTCATTTGTTTTTTCAATTTCCAATGATGTCGCAAATTCTACGCAATTCTATATACTTACTTTTGTTGAACATTACTTGATAAAATTCAGGAAGAGGCTAGAGCTGTTGGTCAACTTCGAAACTACAGATTGGCAAATCTACTTGGATGCTGCTGTGAAGGCGAGGAGAGATTACTGGTTGCTGAATTTATGCCCAATGAGACTCTTGCCAAACATCTATTTCACTGTAAGTACATTTTTCGCATTATCTGGTGGCTTGTTCAAATTCAGATAATCTATCAGTGTGCAAATGCTATAGTATGATCAACTTTATCAAATATCATTTATGCTGGTGAAGTAGTCCATGTACAGTGGATTCACAGAATTTGGTCGTAGAGCATTTGGTATGCCTGCTGCTGGCTGTTGTTAAGCAGGCTGTCTCGTTATTCAACTTAGGAGTCTTGTTTTAAAGCCTATACTAAGTACGAAATGATTAGTATTTGGCTTGAGTTAAGGGTATTCGAATTTTGTTTGTTCTTTGGATACTGGAAAGACGTACTCTTGCTCTTGTAATCTACTAGTTTCGTTCCAGTGAGTGTAACATAGTTTATTTCAATTGGAAATAGAATTTTTTCTAGTTGATAGGCCCAGTTAAGTGTCAGTAGTTTTATGAACAGGAAGATTTTGGCCCCGATATCACCGAGTGAAGAAAAGCATGTAGGCACATAAATCAACACATTACAGTTTGTTTCCCTTTTACTTGGTTTACAAGATTTTCCTTCTTCGGTTCTCAAACTCATTTTCATTTAGTTGTCAGCCATTTGTTCGTTAATTATTTGCTTCATTTATGTGATCTCATCAGGGGAAACACAACCTATGAAGTGGGCAATGCGATTAAGAGTTGCTTTATATCTTGCACAAGCGCTAGAATATTGCACAAGCAAAGGGCGTACTCTTTACCATGATCTTAATGCCTACAGAGTTGTCTTTGATAATGAAAGTATCAGTTCCTCAACCCCTAGGGGCCAATCCTTTTGGGTTTTTTTTTTCTTTTTTTCTTTTTATTTCTTTTCCCACTTCTCTGTATTAAAACAAGTCTTCACAAAACTATTTTTTCACATATTACAGGATGGCAATCCTAGACTTTCGTGCTTTGGTTTGATGAAGAATAGTAGAGATGGAAAAAGCTACAGTACAAACTTGGCGTTTACTCCTCCGGAGTATCTAAGGACTGGTATCACGCTTACTCTCGACAAGTATCGAAGTTTGAAGTTATTTTTAATGCATGAATTATCATGTACTACGTTGTTTGTGTTTCTCTATTTTTGTGTAGTGCTATCTGCTTACTCATTGATCTTATAGTACCATTTTTGTGCTTTGTGTGAGTAGTTTGGATGTTTGTTTCTGTATTTTTAATTAGCAGGTAACATTGTTGGCCCTTTATTAGTTTGTGTTCTCATTTGCTGTTACAGGTGCGGAAATTGTTTTTTTGACCGGAAAATCTTAGTCACTGCAGCTTAGTGTAATGGGACCGTAACTGTTATCACTTGTAATTCACTTAGATAAATACTCAATGTTGTATTGTGAGTCGAATAAAAAATCCATGAATGTTATGTTTCATTTGGTCACTGCATCTAAGTTTATTTTCAAAAGAGCACAGTCAAAGTTTCTGTATGGGTCTTTTACCCTGTAGTTCTGTTGATTGACTTTATTTTATGTCTCATGCAGATGATGTATGTTATATCTAAGAGTAGCAAATATTATGGTTGTGTTATATGAACTTTGAATGCCATTGGATGTGATTTTGCTAACTTATTACTTCTAACTTTAATGTTTTTCAGGAAGAGTCACCCCAGAAAGTGTAATTTACAGCTTCGGGACACTTTTGCTTGACCTGCTCAGTGGGAAACACATTCCACCCAGCCATGTGAGCAATCCTTATGCTAACTCCTCGAAATTACAGGATTAATTTTCTTGGTAGTCTGTAAAATCTGTATCATGAGAGATATGTTTGTTAATAAGCCGAAGGAGATTTTTTTTTGGGTACTTAAGATTGTCATGTTTTGTGGTCGAATATTTGTCATCTGCCTCAACATTAGGAGTCCACAATTTGTTTAACATTCTTAGTGCTGGTTGTTTTATTCTCCACCTCACCATAAGTTTTGCGTTTTTTTGTCTGTAATAGAATCTCCAAACATCTAATCTGTGTTGTGCCTCAAGTGTCTGAGAATCTGATTTAATTCAACACTATTAATTCATATCTGACGGCTATCAGTTCAGAAAAGTAGCGATGCTAGCTTTATTGAATAATACATACTGACTGACACACTAGTTTTTATTTGACTTGTACAGGCCCTTGATTTGATAAAGGATCGGAATCTCCAAATGTTGACCGATTCTTGCTTGGAAGGTCAATTTTCCAATGATGATGGGACTGAGTTAGTTCGTCTTGCTTCAAGATGTTTACAGTATGAACCACGTGAGAGACCAAATCCAAAATCCGTAGTTTCTGCATTGATTCCTCTTCAGAAGGAAACTGAGGTTCGTACTACTGAAAAAAGAGTTTCTTTTTTATTTTCTTTTTATGATGAAGCTATAAAGTATTTAGTACACACTTCACACCTTGCGTCTTTGCCCCCTTTAGGTTTATTTTTCCATAGTCTTGTTCCTTTTTAGTTGCATCAAACTATCCAGAGAGATGTAATGTTGCTTAGTAGACATATGGCACCATTTTCTGGTATCATTTCTTGGATTTCTTTTTCAGGTACCTTCTCACATTTTAATGGGCATTCCTCACGGTGGAGAAATTTTGTCTCTGTCTCCTCTTGGTGAAGCATGCCTTAGAAAGGACTTGACTGCAATACACGAGATTTTGGAAAAACTTGGATACAAAGATGACGAGGGAGCCACGACTGAGGTTCTTTTATTGTCTTCTCTTACTCAAGAAGTTCCCTTGCTAGCTCATGCAAATTTTAATATATTATATCCATAACTTCATCTTATAGAGTGTGCTACATGTGCAAATTCTAATAGTTAGTGCGATAATCTCTCTAGTCCTATTCCTAGCTGTGAGTTTGTAATATATTTATGGTTAAATTTTACGTTATATACTATGTTGTCTCAAGAAGGAACTCTCGTCTTATGTCATAGTACGTTTGTTCAATCTAGTTTTGAAGCCGTGTGAGAATTATGGTCTACCAATAACTAATTGGTTGAGTTTTGCAGCTTTCATTCCAGATGTGGACGAATCAAATGCAGGACACACTGAACTCTAAGAAGAAGGGAGATTTGGCTTTCCGGCATAAAGATTTCAGGGTGGCCGTTGATTGCTACACACAGGTTTTAACTAGTGCTATATTTCTCACTAACGAAAAATACTACCTAAATTTCTGTTATCCAGTTCTGAATGTTAAAATTACAATAACCTCCAATTTAAATAAAAACTACCACTAAGGCCTATAATCTAATTACGACAGAGGTTTATTTATTTATTTATTTATTTTTCCAAAATTAAACAACACCCCTTTGCCATTTAGGGTGTTACAAGTACCCTCTAGTAGAAAGAAGTTTTACAAAACCCCCTTGTCATCTATCTTGAATTATAGATATTGTCTCTATAGGTGTCAACTGCACGTGGAAATAATTTGAGCGGTGGTAGTGTAACATAAAAGAGAACCATTTTTCTCCCTTCCTTTTCCTTTATTTAATAAGTTTGAAATCCAGTGATATGTCACAAATATCTGTAGAAAGATTTAACTCATAATTGTGTCGTGTTTTGTGCAGTTTATCGAAGGTGGAACAATGGTGTCCCCGACAATTTATGCGCGTCGTAGTTTGTCGTATCTCATGAGTGACATGCCTCAGGAGGCCCTTAATGATGCCGTTCAAGCACAGGTCGTATCCCCCATTTGGCATATTGCTTCATATTTACAAGCCTCTGCCCTCTTTGCTTTGGGGAGGGAAAACGAGGCTCAAATCGCGCTTAAAGAAGGTTCCATTCTTGAGGAAAAGAAGAACACAACCACTTCTTGAGAGGCCATTGTGTCCAGGACAAGTGTATNCAAAAAAAGAAAAAAAAAATCTTCTAAGATGACCACAAGTCTTTACAACTCTGAAAAAAAATCGAAACATTTTATATGGGCTGTTGAAGGTGGGATGTAATCGTTGTCGGCTTGGAGCATTAAGAAGACACTTCTTTTGCTTTCTTGTGTTGCCCCGCTTTTGGGGGGCAGTTGACTTTTAACCCCGTTTCCAATAAGGCAATTTAGGTAAAATATTATTTGGTGGAAACAAAAGAATCATTATCTCATGTTGATAAAAACAAAGGATTGTTTTTGGGATGTTGGGGGAAGAAGTTTGCCATACAGTAAGTTGTGTACAGTGCTATATGGCTTGCTCATTTGAGATTGGTTTTTTTCTCTTTTATTTTTCCCCTTATAATTCTCTGTATTTGGTCACTATATGTTGGTTTTGTAATTGGCAAAGTCTGGGAATTGAGTGAATTGGTTTGCATGGTTTCACGTGAAAAGTGAATTGGTAGGATTTGAGAAATAATTGTTTTCAAGCATTTTCGTCATTTCTAATCCTCTGGTTTTTCCGTTTTGGTTCGTGAGCGGACATGAAACTGAAGTTTTGAATGCAATTTTACTTTACTACAGCAAAAACAGGTCAACCTGGAGAAAGTGCGATTTACAAACGGAGCGATATGAGTACCCACATATTTCTAAATTTCTAAAGTTAAAACGGATCAAAGCAACATACGACAGTTAAAAGGATCAAATCAACGCAATACAGTTACACGAATGAAATCAACCTAAGACTTAAGGAAAAAAAAAATAAGAAAAAAGGATCAAATCAACGCAATACAGTTACACGAATGAAATCAACCCACGACTTGAGGAAAAAAAACAAGAATAAAAAAAGCAACGTAAGACAGTTAAATGAATCGAAGCAACCCAAGACTTGAGAAAAAAATTAGGAAAAATAAAAAAGAGCAAGAAAAAACAGAGTAGGGTACAGTGCTCAGTGCTAGTCTTTCCACGAAGTTTCATTCTCAACTTCACAGCAAAACTTGGTCTAACCTACATTTCCCCTTCCATTGTAAGAAAATGTCGAGTCAAATGTTCCCTGTAATAACCATATAGAAAAAACGAACCCAAAGAGAAAAAGAAGAAAACTTGGTAGTTGACTTTTGAACCCAAGAACAAGAATCATCAATGGAAATCCCAGCCTGGTGGTACTTCTGGTTCTGGCCCCTCATCGGCATCACATTCCTACATCTCGGCCTCGACTCCTTGGACAGAACCGACCTTTCCGACTCTGTCCACCCGGCCTTCATGTCCCTCCTCAAGCACTCCCTCGCCACCTCCACCTGCTGCTCTTCCACTTTTGCCCTCATCCTCCGCCCCCGCCTCAAAATCCCAGTCGACCGCCGCTACTTCTGGACATTCACCGCCCTCTTCTGCCTTGCCGCCAAGTACTCCTACACCCCGCCCGACGAGGCCCAAATCGGAAATGCCTTCCTTTGCGGGCCCGCCCTATCTGCCACGCTCCTCCTCTCGGCCCGCCTCCATTTTTTCCCGCCCCTGATTAAAACCCTAGCCAGCCGCTACTCGATACTCGTGTCCATCATTTTCTTGTCGGGCGAACTATTCCCGTGGTACCTTCATATTTTCACCATCCTCAACTTCTTGCTCATCATCGCTGCCGACTACTACTTGACGGCCAACGGAAACATAAACGTGGGGATTCACATGACCGTTGAGTCTTCTCTGTTTCTGGTGAGTTGGGAAAAGACGAAGTTCTACCCGCTGGCGGTGATGTTCGTCTCGTACTTCGTTTCGGGCCTCTACGCGGGGGCCCTCGGGATTGAGCCCTTCATGGCCACGTCAGCGGAGGAGGGCCCTATGGATGTTTGCTTCCTGGAGCTGGTGCCATTGGCCGAGAAGGGGTCGCGTGCTTTGTCGGCGTTTATGGGGAGGAGGGTCGGGAAGTTGGTCAGGTTTGGGGTGGGGATGGTGGGGACCGTCTTATTCCAGAATTTTTTCAGGCTGACCACGTTCGGGCATGTTGTGGCGTTTCTGTATCTGGCGGTGGCATGGCTGGCAAATATGGCATGCTTGGGCGTCGCGGGCGATTTCGGCGTTTTGAATTTTCTGATCGGGAATGTGATCGTGGGTTGCACGGTGAACCAGTTTGGGCTTCACGGGACGACTTGGGTGGCGTACGTGGCGTCTCTTGTTCTGTACGGCGTGCGCCTTGGGCTTGAGTCGGTGAGGTTTGAGTCGAGGGAAGGTCTGCAAGTTGTGCAATTCTCTTTATGGTAGAAACATGGAGGATGAATAGTTTGGTGATATATTACAAGAGTTCGGAATATTCCAATTAAGCAATTTGAGATGCCTTTCAATGGACTCTACTAGCTATTTCATCGCATCTTTCACAATCAAGTTAGTTATGTGACAAACACACCTCACATGCAAGTTTTCATCAAAGATAAGACTATCATGCTTTCGGAGTTGGTTTTTTAAATGCTCCACGGCCACATCATTGGAACTCGCATTGTCCACGGTAATGCTAAACACTTTTTTATGCCCCATTCGACCAATTTCTCTTCAAGACACCTTCTTATATCTTCACCCTGTTAACACAAATATCTTAATTATATTAGAGACACAAATATCTTAATTTCCTTTCTCCATGTTATACCTCTCGCAATGATCAATATGTCATTGGAGATGCTCTAAGCAGGATAAGACAAACAAATCAAACAGCCTAAGCCTTGCTATTATTTTTCTTCCTATTCTTCAACGCAAAAAAATTTCAACTCAAGAAGACCTAAGAAAGGGGTATAGGAAAAAAAAAATAGGGGAAAAAAAGAGAGAAGAAAAAACAGTGTAGGTATAGTGAAGTTTAGTCTTTCCCCACGAAGTTTCTTCCTCAATCTCAACATCACAGAAACTGTCAAAGTTGTAAATCCCCAAGAAGTTTCTTTCTCAAATTCCAACTGTCAAGTTGTAATATATATTGGCAAAATTTGGTCTTGTAACCTGCATTTCCCCAGCAAAATGTTTTAGTCAAATGTTCCTACTCACGAGCTATAACGCTGACTTAGCCAACNAAAAAAAAAAAGAAGAAAGAAAACTTGATAGTCGTCTCTTGAATCCTATGCAAACACACCACCTAAGAAGAAGAAAGAAGCCCAAAACAGGGGAATATCAATGGAGATCCCAGCCTGGTGGTACTTGTGTTTCTGGCCACTCATCAGCATCACATTCCTACAATTGGGCCTCGACTCCTTGGACAGAACCGACCTTTCCGACTCTGTCCACCCGGCCATCATGTCCCTCCTCAAGTACTCCCTAGCCACCTTCATCTCCTGCTCTTCCACTTCTGCCCTCGTCCTCGCGGCCCGCCTCTACATCCCCGTCGACCACCGCTACTTGTGGACATTCACTCTCCCCTTCTGCCTTATCCCCTACTTGTACAACCCGGCTGACTACCCCGTAATCATTGCCTTCCTGTATGCGCTCGCCCTATACACCACGCTTTTCCTCGTGCCCCCGCTCGGTTTTTACCCACCTCTCACCAAACTCCTGGCTAGCTGGTACTCCATGCTTGTCTGCATCATGTTCTCCTCGTATAAACTATACCCGTGCTACTTGTATCTTTTCTTCATCCTCAACTTCCTTCTCAATTCCGCTGCCGACTGCTACTTGACGGCCAACGGAAGCATAAACATGGGGATTCACATGACGACGGCGTTCTACCCGCCGGTGGTGATGATCCTCTCGCACTACGCGGGGGCCCTCAGGCTTGAGCCCTTCACAGCGTTTATGAGGAGGAGGGTCGGGAGGTTGGCCAGGTTCGGGGTCGGGATGGTGGGGACCATCTTATTCCAGAATTTTTTCAGGCTGACCACGTTCGGGCATGTGGTGGCGTTTCTGTACCTGGCGGTGGCATGGGTGGCCAACCTGGCGTGCGTGGGCGTCAGGGACGATTTCGGCGTTTTGAATTTTCTGATCGGGAATGTGATCGTGGGTTGCACGGTGAACCAGTTCGGGCTTCACGGGACGACTTGGGTGGCGTACGGGGCGTCTCTTGTTCTGTACGGCGTGCGCCTCGGGCTTGAGTCGGTGAGATTTGAGTCGAGGGAAGGTCTGCAATTTGTGCAATTCTCTTTGTGGTAGAAATTTAGAGGATGAATAGATGCTTTTGCCTTGAGATATGGAAGTAAGAACACCTATTACAAGGAAATGAATGCAAAATAATATATTATGTATTATGTTTTCAACCCTCTATTGAGCCTGCAATAGCACAAACAAGAGAATGCTCACATAGACTTAGTCATCCTCCGAATTCTTACTCAATTTCCAGGAAATGAATGCAAAATAATATACCGGTAAAGTTGCAGTCGAGTCATCAACATTTGACATTAGTTTGATACAATAATCCAACGGTTTAAGTATATACAAATACACAATTAAATATATAATAAAACATGCACATTTTTCGACCTATCATTAGACTATTGATTACTTTATCAATATGACGTGGCACATTCATCAAATAATCAATAGAGGCTGCAACATTGTTATGCGATGAAGTAAAGACCTCCAATATATTGTAAGGAGCACCTGTCTCCGTCATTAACTAGCTTTCAATACTTGAATCACTCTGTAGTAAATGTTGGATTTCGAGCTTACTTATTTTCGAACAAGAAAAAGCAAAATGCAGCATCCTTTACAAGGAGAGTACTTCAACCAAGTAAACTTCTTGAATCAATTGCTTTGAAATCTTCGATTTTGAGCTCTCTGAATTTCGTCGGTTGATATTCATTCCTGGTAGGTTGATATGGTCTCATCTTAATATGAACTCGTCTCATTTCATCTATTTGATCGAACGAGATATTTTCATACTGGAGTACGTAATGCTGGTCATGATCAAGAGAAGTCATATCAATAGAGGCGGCAACATCATTAGGAGGACGATCTTGACTTGTCGACGTATGCTCTTTCGGCTTACATTACAGAACGGATTGATAGTCTTTCTTTTATTCGTTGCTTGATCATCCATTAAGATTGAAACCCATCAAGTTAAGAAAAAAAAGTTAATTAATCAATCATTTTGATTGGAAATTCCCAAAACAGGACATCTAACATATTATTCCACTAAACATCTTGGACTGACTTGTAATTTATATTAGCGTAGCCCAGATGGAATTATTTCTAATAATCTGTGTCTGAGAAGACATACTATCTTTACCTTGACCAACTGAGAACAAAACTTTGAGCTCCAGAAAATTACAAGAATGTCTTCAGCATACAATAGCTTCCAATTACCAGAACACACACAGAAATTGAATCATGAACCAACCATTACCTAGAGCATTAAAGTATTAAGTATAAATAGGTGAAAACAAATTAAGCAATAGTCAAACAACGAACAGTCTTACACCCTAAAGAATTGTTTCAACCTATTTCAAGTACACAATCTTTTCATATTCAAGGAGAATAACAGAGGAAGTTCAAGATTAAATTGCAGAAACAACGAAATGATGATAATAAACAGGTCAGACAAAAAACCCCAATTTAAGAAAATGAAAAAAAAATTGGAAGTAAAATGAGTGCAATCAGTGCAAGGATTCCCTATATCACATTCTATTTCTCACCAAAACAATAAACTAAAACCAAAGCGTTGTGCAGCCGTTTTTCGCACACAAGCGGTGAAACGGATGTTCAATTTCTTACCAGCAAGGTCAGCGGCCGTGGCAGACCGGGCCCGACAGCGGCGGTTTGGCAGCGTCGCCGCAAGGAGGAGTGAAGCCGGGATCATGGCGGTAGGATTGACGGTGAGGAGGAGTGAAGCAGACAAGATTAATAACCAACTTTCTAATTTACANAAAAAAAAAAAAAGGTAAACTCTTTTATGTTGGGCAAGACAACATGTGTTCGGCCCGTTAGGGATAAAATGAGCTTGGTTTTTTAAATCTATTGGGCTTTTGATGTTGGGCTCTGATTCAAATGAATGGGTCGACTAAGTATAAAATTATATGAGGCTATTTAACAAGATTAATCTAAATAATAATAATAATAATAATAATGATAATAATAATAATAATAATGGAGCCCACCCTAGCCCATGAGTGACTCCGACCCCAAGCAGTTTGTGGGTTTGTCATTTGTGCCTTTTTTTTGGGAAATTTTTGTATCTCCTACACGAAATTGAAAATATTACAATAATACTAATCATAAACAAATAATTGTAATTCTACCTAATTCTCTATCATTTACTACATTAAAGCCTATTCAGTTACCTGAAAGGACGGATCTCATCCCCTTTTTTCCGCATGATTTTAGTATGTTACTAAAAAAAAAGAAATCTTTTCATGAATATGGCTCTCACGGTACATGACATCACGCCGCAAGCAATTTATTCAATTCACATAAATCATCAAGCAATTTATTCGGCTACACCACTAATAGTTACTGCAATTGAATGCTATCTAAACATTTTTTTTTTTAATTCACGAACTAATAATTATTCTATAACATTGTCCTCTCCTTTTTTTCTCATTAGATTAGAATTGCCAACATAATTTTTATATTAAAAATAAATAATTAGTATACATTTCTAATAAATTTTACTACTAAATCACCCATATATTTATTAATAATATCAACCATTGCGTTAATTTTTTAGTTTATCATAATTAGTTGCCAGTATTTATATCACACACTTTAATTATATTACAAAAATAATTACATTTTTTTCTCCAATAATAATTCTTTTTTTGCGTTTATGTTAATATATATTCAGTATATGTGCGTAGCTAGATTTCCTTAATTCAAGATAGAGAAATGAAAATAAATAACTGACTTATTTAATTCCTTAATTCGCGCAACTGGAATTTCTTAATTCACGTAGCCGTCAGATAGTATATTTTACGTTTAAGTTAGTATATATTCAGTATATGTGCGCAGCTGGAATTCCTTAATTCACGCAGCTGTCAGGTGGTATATTTTGCTTTTATGTTAGTATATATTCAGTATATTCCTTAATTCAAACTGGAATTCCTTAATTCACGCAGCTGTCAGGTGGTATATTTTGCTTTTATGTTAGTATATATTCAGTATATGTGCGCAGATGGAATTCCTTAATTCACGCCAGGTGGTATATATTGCGTTTATGTTAGTATATATTCAGTATATGTTGCAATGAAGAAAATGTCTTCCATCAAAAATTATATCTTCCTCTTTTCTTTTTTTTTTTTCTTTTAAACAGTTTATATTTTGTCTCGCGATAAATTTCTTTATCATATACTGAAAATATACTTAATATAAACCATACATGTACACGAAAAAAAATAAAAAAAAAATAGTTTATGCTTTGTCAATAAAATCTTATAATATATCAAACATAAATTATGAATAAACATTGAAAACAGAAAAAAACATACATCCATTCAGAAAATAATTTGTACATAAACTAATATACCAAACATAAACTAAGATGTAACCAAACATAAACTAAGATGTACAATTACATATAAACTAAATTCAATGTACACATTGATCTGCGGATTTCAATGTACGGATTGATCTACACACGGTCCAAAAATCCTAAAAAAATCGAACCAAAACATTGATTTTCTTGCAACTAACCAACCATCTCCAACAGCCGGCGACGAACCCTTTTGTTCTTCAGTCCAGTTGAAGAAATCTCTGGTACAGAAATCCCTTCAGATAAATTGCAACAAACCAACCATCTCCAACCTTTAGCTAAGTGAAAAAATTTGCTACAAATTGCTTCATTCAAGAACACTAATTCACAAATTAAATTAACTTCTTTTTATCAAAATAGTGCATAACAGTACAGATTGCCAGTTGCTTCTTGTAGTGCATCTCCTGTTTACCACCCAACTAATACTATTATCCATAATCTCAAGGCCAAACGAAGTGAGTTATGCACTTCCCGTCAATTCTCTCACCTCCAGAGCGGCAAAACCCCTTCCTTTCCGTCGGAAACGGACGCCGTGGACATGGCAGAGGCATTAGCGCAGTTGACGCGAGCCTCATCTTCTTGTTAGGGATCCGCGCGGTTTGGCTGATCTCAGAGGTGAAGGAGACGAGCGAATCGTTGCAAAACGTGAAATTTGATAGTGAAATTGGATATCCAGAGGTTTGTTCTAATAATTAAGGAGAAAATCATTAATTATAATATTCCATAATTTGACAGATATTAAAACTCTGGTATATGTACAAATAATTATGGTACATGTGGTAGGTTTGTAAATAAATATATATGGAATATATATCTGTAATATAAATAATAACGTTTGGTATAAAGTGTAAATTCCTCCTTTTTTTTGGTCTCCTAGTTGCAAGTTGCTTGCTTCCAGAACCCATGCCACAAAAGCTTTGTATTTTGCTCATTTTTTTGGTTCCCAGTCCAAGTTTTAAGATCCTAGACCGCGCGGCCCGCAACGGGATTGGGCCGCGCTTCACTTTCAAAGGCCCATCAAGATGGCGGGCTTTATCAAACATCGATATAGTCAGGGGTTTGTACTAGTATCTAGATTATAAAATAATACTTGGTCTCCACAGTAGAAAAAATTCCTATATGCCATAATCTTTACCCGTTACACACAAATATTATAGAATTAATTTCGTCAGCCGAGCTATTTCTTAGTAACATGCATAGCATACTAAGGGGATTTTTTCTAACAACCACAACAAATTACAAGTCAAGTCAATTATATTTACTTGTAAATTTAATAAAAGTATATTTAAATGTAAGCAGGTGAAATTCGGAAAGAATGTTGAATGTGTTCACATCTAAGCCCGATGGATATATTCATTATTTTATTCTGTAGTAAAAAATATTATGCAATCTTGGCATCTAAATATGATTAGAATTAGGAAATAAATTAACTGGGGACGTTTACATGTGTTTTCCCGGAACGATGCTCACTCTGGAAGTGGAATAGTTGACTAGGTCGCTTCTAGTTGGCCCCTCACATTCTGCAATTTCCTACAAATTTTCATGGCTGGCGGATAAATTATATGGTGGGTGAAGGTTCATCTTATAATTACATGACATGGTAGACAATGTTTATTTAGTAAGTATGTAATATATACAAACACGTATACTGCAAACAAATGAAATGTTTTCATCCCAAAATATTGAGTTTCTCAAATTTAATTATCAATTTTTGTTGTTTTGTAATTTTATGTGTAATCTTTTTGGTACTTCGTAAATTCTATGTATCAATTTTCTAATGTTTCAGAGTGTTTCATATTCATTTAGATTTTTATTAGTACGTAGTCCATGCGATTCATGGAGAACCAATATTATATGACTGTATGTTCACAATTAACCGTATATTATTGAAAATAT